GGGGGGGGGGGGGCCGGATTATGTAAACACACGTACGTGAGCACGTGCTCGAACGTCACGCCACACACTCTCAACCGTCGAGACGAGCACATCGGGAGCTGCTGTATATTTTCTAGATTATTCCGTTAATTTTTAATACCGCGTTTCGATTTCGCGACAATTGAGGCGATAATTAAGACAAATTAAGACGCATACTCCTCACGCGAGTAGGTGTTGTGGATTTTACCTCGACAGGTAATTATCGTGTTTCATTTATCTTTTTACTTGTTAGATAGAGAAACGTCGCAATCGAGTTCCTCAATGCCGATCAAATATTATCATCATCCATTTATTATTAGAGTATTATTATTTTTTTATTTGGTTGTCATTTAATTATTTTTTATTGCGCATTGAGAAGCAACTCGAGCGTGCCGTTACGACAATTTCTTTTCTTCGTTTTGTTGTCGCATGTAACTAATTGATACTAAATTATTAAATTACTAAATTAAATTTCTGTCACAGAGATCCAATAGAGCAGACGCAGTCACGCGGCTCTAAGGAATGCGATGCTTGTAGAATGCCGCGCCGGAGGATTCGACTCGGGCTTTTCTGAGTCGACTCGAAGGTGAGCTTCACTAATTTGTACTTATAATTAGAAATCCTACAAAACTGAAAATTTTCTTGTTTGGAATCGAGTTCTTTAATGCCTCCATCGTCATGTAACTAATTAATAATCAATTAAATTAAATCAATTAAATCTGTTTTTTGTTGCAGAGACGAGCATTCGACTTTAAGGGAATGCTGCGCCAAAAGATCCGGCTCGGGCCTGGCAGAGTTGACGCGAAGGTGAGCTTCACTGATTTGAATTCATAGTTCCGATAAAACTGGAAATTCTTTTGTTTGAAATCGAGTTCCTTAATGTCTCCATTATCGTATATAATACTAAATTAAATTTGATTTCTGTTGCAGAGATGAAGCAGACGACCAGCCGACTTTTAGGGGCTGCTGCGCCATAGGATCCGGCTCGGGCCGAGCGAGGTTAGCTTGAAGGTGAGTTTTATTAATTAGCATTTGTAATTAGAAATTCGAAAAGATTGATAATTCTCTTGCTCAAAATCAAGATAATTTGAATCAAATCGAAGATCGCGTTAAATCGTAATTATACGCGGGGAGAATTTTTTCTGAGTAACATCATCACTTGAAAAATTTTGATTTGTTCTGATTAAGAGATTTGCAACGTCGAGAAAAAGGAAAGTGGAATATTTCAAGTGTAAATGCATTCCGAAAAATTCTTCCAGTATGAAAAATATCGCGTTTATTTTACTTTTAATCCTACAAACTTCTTCATTCAAATCTATATCAAAGCATGAATCTAATCGGCGAAATGGCATTTTTCTGTTTCAGAAACGAAAACAGAATGTGGCTACCTTGATCGGCGATTTGGT